AGGGTCACAATTTGTCCACATCATCCCTAACACTTTTTATTATCTGTCTTTTGATTATAGTCAACCCAGTTAGTATGAACTGGTATCTTACTGTAGTTTTGATTTGCACTTTTCTAATGACAAATGATGTTTAAGACCTTTTAATATGCTTACTGACCACTTGTATTTCATCTTTGCTGAAATGTCTAAGCAAATTTTTTGCTCAGTTTCTAACTGGGTTATTTATTTTTTTATTATAGACTAGCAAGACAAATATTTTGAATGCAAGTCCCTTATCAGCTATTTTCTCCCACTCAGCAGGTTTTGTTCACTCTACTGATATAATCATTTTGAGAACAAAATATGTTTATTTTGATGAAGCGTACTGTATCAATTTGCAGTTTTGGTGTCATATCTAAAAACCACTGCCTGACTCAAAGTCACAAAGATTTACTCTTATGGTTCCTTCTAACAGTTTTATACTTTTAGCATACAGTACTATCAAACTGATTCAGGTGGAAAACACATGAATTAACCTTCTGCATAATTTCATCAAAACAACATAAATATACATACATTTGCACACACACAGCTATGTACGGCAGAAGTGCTTTAAACTTATGTAAGAACAGCATTTTACAAACTCCAAATTCTAGATAATGTGTATATGTGTGGAATGTTTACAACCAGCATGATACAATGTGACTCATTTTTCAATTTTCCATAAGTTTTGATTACTGCTTTCTGATTGTGTCATAAACTATTTCCCCCATTTGAGTCTTTAATTGCTAGGGTGTAGAAAAGGATCGCCTTTATAGTCATCCACAATGGATCATGGAAGGCTGCTTCTGTCCTTAAGTGATGGGAAGAAGATTGGTCTATACAAGAGATTCAGTCAGATTTGGGTTCTATTTCAAATTTTGCTATTTGTAATTCTCTGGGCAAATTACTTAATATCTCTGAACCTATTTAACTAAAAAATGGACTTATGAAGCCCATTTTTGATGGTTACTTATAAGTATCTTGCATTTGAAGAGATAACACATTTAATGCACTTAGCATGCAATCTGTCGTTAAACAAGTACTTTATAATACATCAGTCTTCCTTCTCCTCAAAACAACTTCCTACCAGGTATACCAGTAAAAACCAGCAGAATATTTTCCTATTTTCTACTATTGCAGATTGAGAATCTTTGTCTAGCTTTGAAGGCATTTCCTACGTAGTTGGGCCCCAAATTCCAATATACTCTCTGTCATTATCTTCTCTAGGTATAAGCTACTCTACTGGGTTTTAAGACTGACAGTTTACAACCTCAAGGGCCTTATTATTTTTTAGAAAAAAATTAAAGAGACTACGAAAAAGGCAGAATGTTGCAGTATCATAAGTGATACAAGCCAGTTACTTTGGGATTCAGAAAATGATGTACATTATGCAAATGGAGAAGTCAGAAAAATTTCTAGAGAAACAGTTAAGGTAAAAATTAAAATATGGTTAGGATTAAGGTAGAGTAACTCCTAAAATATTAGGGCTCTTTAGGTAAAAGAAACAATTATCATAAACATATGGACATGTGAAAGACAGGGCATATTTGCAGAAATACGGAGAATACAGATTCCTGATGTGTCTGAAATATAGATGACACATGGGAGTAAGTGGGATCCAGAGCACAGAAGGCACAAAATGATGGCCCAAGTGTGGACTTTGACAGGGGATGCACGGCTAAACAGAAACCAAGCATGTTAAGAAGGGTGTTCCAGGATGATCCTTTCTACAATAACATTCAAAATGATTTAGGTGGAGGCGTGTAAGCAGACTAGCAGTAGAGGAACAAGTTAGCTACTACAATATTCTAAATAAGGCTGACACTGTTGTATACCTCCCAGTAGTCATCATCCCCCCCAGGGTTCTGCTAACAAAACCCTAATGCTGTTCAAGAATCTTGCAGGCAGCAACATGCTCAAGGAAAGTGGATCCTTCTCCAAGAGATAAAAATAAAGTGACCTAAGCCAGAGTTCAGTAGACTTTTGCCATAAATGGCCAGATAGTAAATATTTTAGGCTTTGCAGGCCATGGGGTCTCAGTCATAACTGGTCATTTATGTCACTGTAAGACAAAGATAATGATGGACAATATGGAAATAAATGAATGTAACTGCATTACAATAGAACTTAATTTGTGGACACCAAAATTCAAATTTCATATAATTTTCATGTGTCATAACATATTCTTATGACTTAACCATTTAAATGTAAAATCCCTTCTTAGCTCCTGGGCCATACAAAACCAGGAAGCAAGATGTATTTGACCCATGAGTTACAGATTGCCAATCCCTAATCTAAACCAACTGTCGCTACTCTAAACTCCTTGCCAGTTTATGTTTAGGGAGCAACTGGGTATGTGATGTGGTTCTGATCAATGGAATATAAGGAAAGGTCCACCAAATAATTTCTAGAAAAGGTTTTCTCATCTAATAAAAACAGATGTACAAGAAAAATAAAGTCACTGAAGTGTTTAGAGCTGAGCCAGCTATTTCTACATCCATGAGAGCAACACCAAGAGCACTACAGAGGAACACTGTAACTAATATACCAAGTGAAAGATGTAAGTATGACCAAAGCAGAACGATCACAGAATGAATAGGTCATGAAACAGCTGCTTCAAGATAAACTGTGGAGGTGGCACTGTTCCAATGGCTTCTAGTTTAGAAGCCATGCAATGGAACATGATAAATTCAAATGTCAGGCATTGGAGACTGAAAGAAAAGGGGAATGATGCTACTTTTAAAAGAATAAAGGACGGTTTGAGTAGAAAATGAGTATGGTCTGAAACCTCAGGGAGACAGAGTGAGGTTCATAAAAAGGACTGCTGAGTAACAGCAAGGCTGAGTGTAGCTTGCTGGAATGTGAGGCAGATCATTTCACCTTGGTTCATAGCAAGAGTGTCTCTCAGCTCCTGGAGGTGTTAATGAAGCCATGGCAAGCAGTGATCACACATTCCATGTGACAGGATCAGCCTGCACCTCCCCCCGGCAGAATCTTGTCACTAGAGATTAGCGGGGTTGGATCTTGGGCTGATTCTGTTGCTCCAAAGTGCTGCTGCCTCATGTGGGTCACACTAGGAAACCCTTAAAAAGAAGCAACTTCTGTGCCTCTGTTCCATTTACTTCAAACTGACCAGATCAGTGGCTTTCAGTCCGTGCTCCTGGGAGGCTTTGTGCTCAGTGATACCCTAGGAATTGCTGTGGGCAGCACTCACATTTCCAGTAAAGTGGCAAAAATATAAAATGTTAAAAAAAAAACCTGTATCAAATCAGAACTGTAAAAACAACAAAAAGTGATTCTGATACTTACTTTAAAAGATAGATTATTAACAAGAGGAGAAATAGCTTTAACTATTTGATACTCTACCTTGGGGAGTTAGAAGTAAGGGACATGTCAGAATTTGGGGAGATTAAATTATGTATTTCTTCATACAGAAAAAAATCATAAAAACAGATGAAAGTGCAGACAAAGTCAATTAATCTACTGTTTAATAATAAGCAGAAACTCACAACTAAAGTTAAAATATCTAATAGGACCAATTGTTGAAGGACATGTAGGGAAATGAGAACCTCCATTTACTATGTGTTATGAGTATAAATTGGTACACTTCTTAGAAAGCCATCAGGTAAGAGCTAGTGAAGTAATAAGGTGAATCTGATATGACTTAGCATAGCAATCTCACCTTCAGTATATGTCCAGAGGTGTGACTGCAATGCAATAACCACCCAGTTCAAGAACAGCATTGTTGCAATGACACACAATGGTTAACAACTGATAATATGGGAATGGATGATAAATTATGCCATATTCATCAAATGGAATACTCTTAAACTATCTGATTTTGATATCCCAAATATAAGATGTGCAAAAAGTAAACACAAAAGATTATACACATAAATATACAGTATAAGACCATTTATGTAAAAATGTTAAACTTATGAAACATATTATTACATGTGCTCATATATGTCATAAAAGGATAAAAAGATAATTGTAAAAACATGCACAAACTTCAGGAGAATTGTACTTGGAGGGAGGGAAGAAGAGAAGAGACATTTATGGAGAATAGGACAGAAAAGAAAAGCTTTGAAAGAATCTATATTTACAGTTTCATTTAATTTAACAGAGATCTGCAGCAAATTGGCAAAATGTTAAAATATGTTATATCTAGATAGTGGATTCCCGGATGCCTACAAACTGTGTTATTGCATGTGTGAAATAGTACATAATTTTTAAGACTGTCTTGCACAGTTCGTTTTAATAAAAAAATATTTTCAAGGCTGAACAGTCAATCAACAACTCTATGACAAAATGAACATTTTTTACTGCACTGATAAGGTGCTATAATAAAATGAAGTGTAGATTAGGATGAAGTGTTCCTGTGAGATTGTATAAGTGATAAAGAGCCATTCAGTTCACTTTATAACAGGAGCAACTTGACCCATTAACAGGAGATAGACATATTAACATTTTTACCAACAGTAGACTAAAGTAATTACTCATATAGCTGGAAAGACAGTGAATAAAACTCTTAACATTTATTATTTTATACTGGAGTTCTCAAAATATTTTGACAACAAGATGAAAAAAGAAACTGCCTGAATTCAAAGTGTTATAACTTCAAATTGATTTTCTAAATTTGTAGATTTAGTGCAACACCATCTTAACCACTTAACAAAAAGATAAATAAAATGCTTTTTAATGATTTTGAATAATTTGAAATATCTTTATATTAAAATGAGCACAGATGTGAAGTAGAAAGTAAACTTCATGTAAATCTTTAAAAATAATTTGTATTGAATTAAAATGGACAAAGAGAAGTGGAAAATTATTGGACAGCTCTATGAGTTTTCCTAAAATGGACAAAAGCACAACCCATGTTAAGAAATAGAGTATTGCCAAATCCTGGAAGCCTTTATTATGATTTTGCCCATCACTATACTGCCTCCAAAAGTAAAAACTATTCTGACATCTAACACTATGGATTCATTCATGTTGCTTGTTTTCAACCAAATAAGTATTTGTTTTTCAACCAAATACTCTGTTCTTTTGTTTAGCATTATACTTGTGAGATTCATCAATGTTTTCCATGTAGCATTAGTTTGTTCATTTCCATTGCTATGTAATACTCCATAATTGATCACAAGATGTCTAGCCATTCTACTAGTAAAGAGTCTTTACATTATTTCTAGCTTTTGGCATTTATAATTAAAGCTGCTATGAACACTCTAGCTCATATCTTCTTAGGTACTTACATAGGTACTTCTGTTGGGGATAGATATATGTAAGGTTTTATATGTATATATACATATATCTGATGATTAATCACAATCATGTATGCAATATGGTCAAAGTTTTCAAAAATAGCTACATCAGTGAGCATAAGTATAAATGAAACAAGAATAGCAAAAAAGAAAAAATAATTGATGATTGTTGAAGCTGGGTGATTCATACATAAGGGTTCATAATACAATTTTTTTCTTTTTATCTATTTGAAATTTCTTGTAAGATAAGGTTTTAAAAAGTGATTGTATCAACCTATTTTATAAAAATAGGGGCCTCTATTCTTTATAAAATGTCTTAAAAGTCCAAAAAAAAGCTGTGAAAATGTTCCAGATTAAAAGAGGTTAAAAGACATGACAACTAAATATAATACTGATTCTAGACTGGATCAGGATCTAAAAGGAAAAAGTGTTATAATGGACATTATGAGTTCAAATAATAAAATTAAAAATTAAATGTATTAAAGGTAAGTTCAAAATTGAGAAGTATTATATCAATGTTAAAGTTTACTGAAGTTGATAACTGCACTATGTTGACATAAGAAAATAGTCTTACATTCAGGAAAGACACATTGTAGTAGTTTGAGGTCAAGGGCCATGATATATATAACATAACGGTTCAGGAAATTGAATAAAAATATATAAATAAATATGGGTGTGTGTGTTTGTACACGTGTGTGTGTGTGTGCGTGCATTTGTGTGTGTATGTGAAGAGAACGGGCAAATAAAGCAAATAGATTAAATTTTAACAACTGATTATCTTGGTAAGTATACACATGTTCTTAATACTATTTTTAAGCATTTAAATTTTTTCAACTTTTCTGTAAATTTAAAATAAATTCCAAATAAAGAGGTTTTCTTTTTTAAAGAAAAAAAAAAACTGTATGGGTTATATCCTACCAGCAGAGTATAAGAGATCCTGCTGTTTAATCCTAGTCATCAGCTGATTGTTGTGAATATTTATATTTTAGTCATTCTAATGGGAATACAATTGTATTGCATTGTGGTTTTGATTTGTCTTTTTCATTTCTCTGAAAACTAATGGTTTTTGAGCTCCTTTTTATATGTCATTTGACTATATATTCTCTTACACAAAGTAACACTTTTTCCTATTTTTCTATAAGATTGTCTTTTTCTCATAGATTTGTAAAAGTTCTTTCACATGATTTTGCATAAATTAAAAAAAAATAAAGTGGTTTCAAAGAAACTACAAAATTATAGGGAAAGGGCTTGTGTTATTTCCTCAGTCTCTGAGAAATGGTTCTTAGAAAAGATTTAGAAATTCTGCTTTAGACCAATGGGTAGTACTTTTATCTATACTCTGATGGGTTTTATGTGAATCTCAATTGAACAAACCACTCCAGAGTAATAACAGTTCCACCTTTTCTTTCTCACAGTTACAAGGCATGAAGATGATTAAGAAGATTTCTAGGTAGAAATGAAGGCAGGATTGACAAGAGATGTCAAAAATTGAATAGACTTATTCAGCCTGGTTTTGCATTTGCTACTGGAAAATTGTCTAGATAAGATTTACCAACCATTTTTATTCATAGTAAGAAATTTACTTTATATAATAACTGAGCACACACAAGTATTACTGAAAAAAATCTTAAACCAACACTAACCTTTACCACATATCTGATATTTTCTATATAGAAAAGTTTTAAATCACACCTGATTTTTAAATCGTAACTGATATTTTCTATATATTCTGTTTTAATCCATTTCACTGTTGTTGCTGCTATTTTTAGTGCAGGCTGCAAATCCACTAAAGTGATTTCACACAACGGATCTTTGAAAACCACTGCTTTAGAAAATATTTCTCAAATTTTGTCATACATATGAGTTATCTGGTATTCTTTTTGAAATGCAGATTCTGTTTACAGAATTTGATATGAACAATTTTTAACTATTACTATCATTATTAATGCCATCAACATCATCACCACTCAGTACACACAGAAAATGAATACATGTATGGGTAATTTAGGGTCTCTGAAATGATCATTTGCAGAGTCTTTTTGTCTATGCCTCTTCTCCCCCATTCTTCCCATGTATGCCATCCCCACAGTCTGCTACTCCTTCTGTGCTCCTTGCTGTGCCTGCATCACCTGGAGACAACCAGTCACCCACTCCTAGAGTTTATCTGGCCTGCCACAGAAGAAACAAAGAATAATCTTTACAGTTGGCCTTAGTATCCTGGTACCCTAGAGCAGTGCCTGTCCAACTTCAGCATGAATAAATGTTAAAAGGTAGATTCCAACTCATAGGTCTGGCTTAAGGCAAGATCTGCATCTCTAACAAGTTCTTAGATGCTGGTCCATAGCTTCCATTTTGAATAACAAAAATCTAGAAGACAATAAAGCAGATAGTTAAGACATTTGAATTCAAGTATTAGTAAGAAGGAAACGGCTAAAGACAGTCTTAAGCTCCAAGGCTTCTGTAAGGGCCAAGAGAGAAAGATTTCTAAGGAGTTAGTGCACAGAATCGAGAATGGCTGGTGGCATTCAGATGACAAAGGAAGGTAAATAAAGCCTAAAGCAGGTGATGAACTAAGAAAATGAAGAAGTATAATAACACTGAGGTCCAGAGGTGAGGCATATGGAAGGCACCTTCTGTAAGGAAGAGGGGAGGAGTGGCAAAGGTGATTGTGGTTACAAGAGCCATGTAAAAACCCATGATGCTACAGAAGGAAACTTTCTGAGGAACAGTGGGATTCCAGCTAGAAAAATTCAGAGCTATTTTGGAGTTGAGGAAGTAAAAAGGCTATGAAGTCAACAATACCGACATCATAAAGAATAATGTCAAGGCCAGAGGGCTGAGGCCACTGAAGAGATCAGGAAACGGTTCTGGAATTTAGAAAACAATCTTGACAAGGATGAAGAAAGGCTGGCATGGACAGAGAGCACAGGCTTCTAAAGGAGAGTGAAAGAGGTGCACCAGCATGCTGCCGGGATGGATGACTCTTTTGCACAAATTGGTGAAAAGAGCCCTGTAGGATTTCAGCCTCTGCTTGTGTCCTCATCTGTGTAGTATGGGGCTGTTCACACAGTGCAAAAACACAACCACAGCAAAAGCCCATCAGAGGGTGGAGGGTGGGGAGAGAGAGAACCAGGAAAAATAACTAATGGAAACTAGGCTTAACACCTCGGTGATGAAATCGCTTCTTCTTCCAGAAGAAGTTAAAGGACTTGGGAGAAAGTTTGGTGTGTGCTGCATAATACTTTGAAAGAAATGGAATTGACAGAACATGACAGTTAAAGTAAGGAAATACAGAAAGAGTGTTAATAGGACACGCCATTTATGACAAGGAAAAAGAAAAAGCATGTACGAAATAGATTAAAGCAGAAAATGACACACAAAAATGTTGAACTCATATGTAAGAAAATATACCACAGGCTACAGAGAAAGGAATTATTAAAGGTTAGGTGGCTCAGGAGGTTTCTCACTAAGCTGCTTATGGTAATAATAAGAGATTACAATGAGCCAGGTACAGTTTGCAGATGGAAAGAGTAGATGAAATTATCAATCATATAAAATCATGAATATTAATTTGCTAATCAGCTTATGGAAATACAAAACACCTATGAAATGGTTCCATTCAAAAACCATTTATGTTTCTGTCATTCACAATTACTACAAAGAGAATAAAATACCTAGGAATACAACTAACGATGGATGTAAAGAATCTCTTCGAGGAGAACTAAAAACCATTGCTCAAGGAAATAAGAGAAGAAACAAACAAATGAAAAAACATTCCATGCTAATGGTTAGGAAGAATCAATATTGTGAAAATGGCCATATTGCCCAAAGTAATTTATAGATTCAATGCTATGCCCATCAAGTTACCTATGACTCTCTTCACAGAACTGTATAAAACCACCTTAAACTTCATGTGGAGCCAAGAGAGCCTGCATAGCCAGGTCAATTCTAAGCAAAAAGAACAAAGTTGGAGGTATTATGCTACCTGACTTCAAACTATACTACAAGGCTACAGTAATCAAAACAGCATGGTACTGGTACCAAAACAGAAATATAGGCCAATGGAACAGAACAGAGCCCTCAGAGGCAATGCCACATATCTACAACCATCTAATCTTTGACAAACCTGACAAAAACAAGCAATGGGGAAAGGATTCCCTGTTTAATAAATGGTGTTAGGAAAACTTGCTAGAAAGCAGAAACTGGACTCCTTCCTGAAACCTTACACTAAAATTAACTCCAGATTGATTAAAGACTTAAACATAAGACCTAACCCCATAAAAACCCTAGAAGAAAACATAGGCAAAGCCATTGAGGACATAGGCATAGGTAAGGACTTCATGATTAAAACACCAAAGCATTGGCAACAAGTCAAAATAGACAAATGGGACCTGATTAAACTCCAGAGCTTCTGCACAGCAAAAGAAACAATCATTAGAGTGAACCAGCAACCAACAGAATGGGAAAAAATTTTTGCAATCTACCCATCTGACAAAGGGCTAATATCCAGAAGCTACAAAGAGCTAAAACAGTTTTACAAGAAAAAAAACAAACAAACCCATTCAAAAGTGGGCCAAGGATATGAACAGACACTTTTCAAAAGAAGACTTGTATACGGCCAACAAACATATGAAAAAATGCTCATCATCACTGGTCATTAGAGAAATGCAAATCAAAACCACATTGAGATACCATCTCATGCCAGTTAGAATGGCGATCATTAAAAA